CACTCACGCACACACACCCAGCGTGAGTTTTAAATCACCGGGTCCGGGACGTGAACTGTGGTCGACTACGTGGAAGTCCAGCGACATAGCCATTACGCTAACTACTGGTTTCCAAGAGGCACTAAATTTGAACCTATGTTTTGACACTTTCAGTGACTCCATCTTTTCATATGATCTTTTAAAGTTAGTATAAAATGGGCAAAAGAATGTTGGCTATGTTGTGTATAAAAGGTGTATGTTTTCCTTTCTATATCCACATGGTTCTTTTTTTTTAAGAATTATTTATTTTATTTTATTTATTCATTCATTTATTTTAATTTGAACAGAGAGAGATACAGAGAGAGAGGGAAAGTTAGAAAGCAAACCACCAGGTCCAGGATTCGAACCTTGGTCACCCATGTGAGAGTGTCCAGTGCCTTAACCATCAGGCCACTGCTAATTCCCTCCACATAGATCTTATGAGGTTCTGGTGCCTGGAAATTGAACAGTAAACAGTAAAATAAATATTTATATCTAAAGCCTATCCATTGTTCCTCTGGGTACTATCAGGTTTCTCTCTTTCCTAGACCTCAAGGAAAAATGCCTTGGATGGGGGAGTGAGGGGAATAATAACATGATCTGTTATTCAAGATGAACACAAAAGCACAGATCACTTTTCAAAATGTCCATGATCCCAGAACATAAATGCAGACACACCCTTAAAGGAATGATTTGAAAGGAGAAAACCTGGCCAGCTTCCCACATCTCACTGAATCCGATCGGACTGGGTGATGGCCGAGATCAAAGATAGTGGTGATTGGACATAGGACTGGGAGGAACTGGCATCTTCAAGGCTCCTGGAAATTAGCCCATTCAACCACACCAAGCAAAAGCAAACCGAAAGTAAATATGGGTGAGTAATCAAATACACATGGGGGTACTTTTCACAAAATGTGAAGCTTATGTGTTCCCAAAAGAAAATTCTCCAGGTCTTCAACAGCATATACTCGACAGCAAAATCAAAATGTCCCCTCTTCTACCACACAGCCTACTTTTGGCTTCTAGAAAAAGGAAATGGACAAAATGATCTTTTTGTCATGCTACTCATCTTTCTTCCTACCCTTCTCCACTTCCCTCACCTAAGTAACATTGTCTCTCATCTTCCTTCTAAAAAACAAAAAAAGAGAGAGAGATTTTTTTTTTCTAATTTAGGGGGATTATCTCCTGAACAGCCCATGCGTCTAGCTCTGCTCATGTTGTTGCCCCTAAGGGACAACATCTTCGGCTCCTCAAGATGGGATTTCCCAGTATCCCCTCATTCCCATGATGCCTTGACATCCTCTGGTGAAGAGCACTGAAGACTACTCTCCTGACTTTAGGGAGAGCGTCCACACTGGCGCAAAATGCCGTTTACCACTACTCTTCATCTTCCATATACTACTCTTACTACTTACAGGATATGATTAGAGATACTAGTTTATGGTCCCACTCCCCAACCCCACACATTTCCCCAACCCCACTCCTCCTTAGAAACTAGACCAAAGATTACAGATGAAGAAAGTTTTTTCTGCAGGTGCATAGTATTACAGAGGGATAATAGCCGAATAGGGGGTTTTGAATAGGGAAAAGCTTGAAAAGGATTTAAAGGATTTAAAGAGGGAAAAACAAAAAAGAACTTCCTTTTCAAACTTAATGCCCTTTTAAATTTTATACATACACGCACGCACACACACACACACACACACACACACACTCACGGATTATATTCTCACAGAGGAAATGTAGAGTGAAATATAGCTGCATTTAAGGGATTTCCTCTCACCAAATTGTCTCCGGTCCCTTAATTGTGTTTCAACCTTACTGAGTACTTTGTTTACAGTCCCTAGTGCAGTGATTTGCATCCCCCTCTCCGGGTTGCTGTTGGCCTGGGCTGGCAGCTGTCTCAGTCCAATTCTGGCTGGGAAAGGTAAGGATCTTTTCCTTGCTCTTTGAAAGATATGGGAAAGAAATGTTGAATGCCTATCAGTGAGTGGGAGAGTATAGATATAACTCATGCATTGGAGGTTTTCAGAAAAGTTCCACATACTGAAAGTGATCTCCTAAAACCATGTGCTTTAAAAAGAACCAGAGATTCCTCTCCCTTGTGAGGGAGCTGACTTGCAGAAAGAAAGCTGGTTGCATTGTGGATGGAATTCTGCATTTGGGTGCAGGTGTCCCTGGAGGGATCCCTAGAGGTGATTTTGTTTGTTTGTTTTAGTAATAATAATAATGACTATGTATTGAGCTGTTACTACGTGCCAAGCTCTGTTTAATCTGTACTGTATTTGTTTCCTAGAGCTATAACTAAATATCACAGAGTGGCCTAAAGCAATACAAATTTATTTTTTACAGTTTAGGAGCTTAAAGACCCAAATCTTGGTTTCAGGAGGGCCACGTTCCCTCCCATTCCCCTAGAGGTGTTGAACACCACACACACAGAGTGAAGGGAGGATTAGACAGCTAAAGGCATTTGATATGGATCACTAGAAATTCTCTGAATTTCAATTTGAAGAGAGAAAGTCAGTTCCAAGTGCATCTGCCAGTGGTTACAATGATAAGTCTCTATTCTACTACAATTTCTGCTTTAATTCAACACTTTTCAGTTTCTTTGAAGTTATCGATACAAGTCATCAATTGTCTGCTAAGAGACATATATCTGTGTATCTAGGCAGATGCACTCACACTAAGGAGCAGGAGAGAGAATGGCACCTGAGGCCTGACAAGGCCGAAGAAAGTTTTGGTATTCAAAACAATGCCCAGGCTTACAGGCACAACAAGTACATCCCCTGCCCCTCGCTATAGATTGGGCCAGGATTCACCATGAACTTAAGATGCCTCTGGTGCCCCTCTAGAAGTTCTGCTCCTGTACTTAGGCTTTGGTAACAGAGAAGCACAATCCTCAACAGGGTCAGGTGCTATTCAGAACCTTCATGGCATTGTTGGGCTATTTGGAGCCAAAAGTGGTCCATGCTGGGAAGTAGAGAGGCCTTTCCCACCGAGGCCAGAGTTCATAAGTGGGAATACAGCTGTTTCTCTAAGGAACTGCTTAAGAATCTCCAATGTATGGAGTCGGTGTTCCAATATCATCATCTTCCCTGGGCAACTTTGGTAAGTTCTGGAATGCCCTGGTTCTTAGTATGCCTGATTTGCAACACCAAATGACTGCACTCTGTGGATGACAGCCCTGGTTCCACATTTTAAAGATGTGGGTGGTAGTAGACTCCTCAGCAGGCTGGGCTCTCCCTCAACTCAGCCAGGTCTCAGGGACTTTTCACCTCGATTTTCTGAAATAAAGACATGCTCTCCCTGGCTTCCCTTCTTAGAAGAAAAAGGACATCTGGTCCCTCTCCTCTTGTGATAAAGTCATTTAGGTACTGTGGATAGACACAACTAGAGAGAGCAGGCGATCATTGAGCAGAGGTGAGATGTTTAAGAACATCCAAGTGGTAGGGCAGCAGTTACAGGCACCTAACCAAATTCCTTCTAAACTTCATTTTGGATTTGTGGAGTCACTGTATTAATTAAAAGGGATTATGAGCAATTGGCCAACAGATGATTGTACCGTGGTACATGGGATGCCTTGTGAGGCAACCTCACATGGGATTCCCTGGCCAAGTCTAAAGATCTCCCTAAAATAAGCCAGGTACGTCTTGGCCCATGGTCGGGGCTAGCTGAAGGGTGAGTATGAACAGTGGCGTTGAGACCCCAGTGTGTGGTGCTGTCTATGCCTTCCTCTCTCTATTTTCTATTACTCCCAGAACAACGAACTTGAAAAAAACACAGGACAGTGTTAAAAATGAAAGATGGATAAGTGTTAGCTGCTGAAATAGAAAGATGAGCTTATCATAGGCTCCCACCATTATCTCCATTTTTTTCCTCAGAAAGACAATCTGAGTCTTTATGGATTTCCCACATTTAAAATTTTCAAATAATGATCTGTAAGAAAGCATAAACATAGAAGGCAAGGTATGGGGATGGAAAATAGATTTTTTTCTTTTATTATTTAAGAATATGACTTGTCTAGTCATATATGTTTGAATGTTTAAAATACCCAGTTCCTAAAGGTGGGTCAAAGAACAGGAGGCTCAGCACAGGTGCGGAGCTTGTGACAGACCTACTCAATCAGAAACTGCATTTAACCAGCTCCGTCTGTGATTTATGTGCTCCTGAAAGACTGGGACTTATACCAAATTTCTGTCTTCCTGTGTGACCTTTGTCAGAATACTTAACCTCTCGGAGCCTCTGTTTTCTCATGTATCAACGGGTGGAAATTAATGTTAATGTGTGACATTCCTGAGTATCAGTGTCCCTTTCAGGTGCTCAGTAGATAGCTGCAAGGATGGTGATGATCATTTTGGCATTGCCCAAGTTATTCACCTCCTAGCAAAAGCAGTAAGAAATTGTGTTTAAATCATGATGCCTGATTTCCCCCTTTCACCACAAACATTTCTATTTCCCACACTTTTTTTGTAAATGAATAATACTGAAAAACGCGCAGTTTACACCTCAGATGATCACTACACGCATATCAATAAAGAGCACTTGGAAAACCCAGGAACGTGGGTTTTTGCTGACTTGGGGATGCATTCAGCTGCCCGATGATTTCACAGCTGTTCCTGCCACCCCAGAGCTCTGTCTCCTTCTCGGTTCCGCCCCTGAGCTGGATCTGCAACGCTAACTCTGGGATTTTCTTATGAAAGTGCCTGATGGGCGGGCGGAAGATCTGGAGGTTGACTGGGGGAAAAAATGAGTAATTCAAAGCCCTCTGCTTAGTAAATGCTACAATAAAAGTAAAAGCTGACTCCTGTCTCCGGGGACTCTGCCGACAAAGGATTCCGACTTATCAAGTCACTGAGCAGAGTTGGGGGAAGCCAAAACTGGGAATCTGTTGGCAAGGAAAAGAACGAAGGGGAAAAAAATATATATAGGGAGGGGCAAACCAGAGGGGGAGGGAATAAAAAGAGAGAGGGAGGGAAAGACAAGCGTCATTTAAAAACAGAGGTAGCCTGAAAGAAGAAAGAGCTCCAAGATTCAACACCAAACTGTGTAGCAAAGTATCTTTGAATCTTTTATTTTTCACAGAGAAGATCCCTGACCTGTCATTTAATTGACAGCTGTCCTGGTGAGGCTCCTTCGCAGCAGTTGAAAGAAGAAACTGAAGCAACGCTGTTTCTTCCTTTTTAAGTCAAGTGGTTTCCCTGGTAATGGACTGCCTGACTCTGAGGTATGTGTGAGTAGTACGAGGACGAAACTTCCTTTTCAGGTCAGCTCAAATCTCGACTTGGGGGTGAAGATTTTTTTTTCCCCTCCAGGCATAATCGCAAGTATTATTTTACTGGTCTGGGCAGTATTTAGGGTATCACTGGACAACAGTGATTAATTTGGTCATTAAAAATTACATGCAAGTAAGAAGCTCTACTATTTACTTTGATCATTCAGAAAGTGGTATCTTTACCTCCCAAGGCAGGAAAGAGCCAGTGAGGTTTGATTTGGGGTAGAATTGTTTTCAGTTGGTATTGAACATTGTCAAAGTATTCGTTTCATCCTCATGGTCTCAAGTATCTGCCTTAAACTCTGAGTAACTGCAGTTGCTCAGCAGCTAGCTGGTTTCTGGAGGATGAGACAGGAACTTCACATGTCTCGGCAGCAGACAAGCGGTTTCACTGATTTCTCATAGCCAGCATTTCAACCAGATGCTATTGCTTGAGCATATCAAGTTTTGTCTTGCAATGTTCATTTTGGAATCTTTGGGAAAGGACATCGCACACGCTTTGTACATAAGGACATAGGGGAGAATGAACTGATAAATTTTACTGCAAATCTAGCAAACTTATTTGTTAAGCATGTCATAGTGTACCTACTATCAAAAGTCCTTATTGAGTCTAATAGAATATGTACAATTTGACAGCTATTTCCCTAATGGTTGACTTTGTCTTTGATGTGAGAAAGCACACAATTCTATGCTACCAAGTTATGGAATATTTTGTCCTTATTTTTCTCTTTTTGAATGGATTGCAGGGTCTTGCTACATTTCAGATCACATGTCCTTACCACATTGTTACTCAAATTTTTACTACCCTTCCCCCCCATCATGGTGGGGGGGAGGGAAGGAATTAAAAGGGTCACAGGATGCATGTTTCACTGTGTTTAATAGTAGCACAATAAAGACTTGTTGACTGTCAGCTGATGGAGAAGAACATTATGCGTACACTGGCTGGCAATTTGTCTGGATGTTGATTTCATGGGCAGTGAATGGGGGAGAGTTTGGAAAGAATGCATGTCATGCCCGGCTAAATTGGCAGTCTTCTAGGAGTTGTGGAACTAACTGTGTGAAGTATTGTTTATGGTGTATCCTTCTCTTGAATGAGGCTGTCTTTGGATTCGGATTTAGGCTCTTCTGTGTGTTTGGAAGAAAGAGAAGCAATAGACAAAGTAGAAAAGCTTGTAAAACATTTGTAGACCACATGAGCATATTAAACACTGTAAAGTGCTTCCTGATCTTTAATTCTTCCCTTTATGTTTACCTGCTTTATTTTTTATTTTTATTTATGTATTTATTTTTGTCCAGTCCAAAAAGAATGCAACCAGTAAGAAAAAAAAATTAGAATTCATTTTTGCATGTATCCCATCTCCTGGCAAGGAGGCGCTTCTCCAGCTTTTTACTGCTACTTGCAGGGCTCATTCTGAAACATGTAACTGACATTTCCTGTCTTCTCTATAGCTCCTGCCCTCGTGAGACTCTCTAGAACTAATCTGCAAACACAGATAGAAAGCACGACTGTAAAAATGACTGAAGAGCCCGTAAAAGAGATCCCGGGAGTCCCCAAATCTCCCAAGCCAGTGACAATGGAGAAAAGCCCCAAGAGTGAAGTTGTGGTCACCACAGTCCCCCTGGTCAGTGAGATTCAGCTGATGGCTGCGACAGGAGGTGCTGAGCTCTCCTGCTACCGTTGTATCATCCCCTTCGGGGTTGTCGTCTTCATCACCGGGATAGTGGTCACTGCGGTGGCTTACAGCTTCAACTCCCACGGCTCCATCATCTCCATCTTTGGCCTGGTCCTTCTGTCATTTGGACTTTTTTTATTGGCCTCCAGCGCCTTATGCTGGAAGGTAAGACAAAGGAACAAGAAAGCCAAGAGACGGGAGAGTCAGACAGCTCTTGTGGCAAATCAGAGAAGCCTGTTTGCTTAAGACAGAATGAGACCAAATGGAATATATGGCCTGAAAAACCTGCTCTGACTTTTGTCAGCCAATTCAACCAGAACCAGCGTGGGAAAGAACAGACTTGGCATTGGAGCCAACTAGAAAAATGGGGGTGCTGGGTGGGGGGTAAGGGGCGTTGGCCTTTGTGAGGAGTGACTCAAGTCTTCTTTAATGACAAACTTAACATTAAGGGCTATTTCTTAGACTGAAAACTCAGCTTTCTCTTTATATTTAACATTTTGGAGAAGTGCAAGGCATTAGACAACATTTGGTTCACTTTGGAAAGGAGCCAAGAAAAGATGAGAAAATAAGATAGCCCTGGCACACTAGACATTTGTCTCTGAAAGAAATAACCCATACTCTTAAGAAGTTATATTATAAAAACGTTTTGCCAAGGATCTAAATTGCCTTGGACTTTTCATGCTTCTATTAAATTTTGTGATAATCTTTTTTTTTTTCAATAAATTTATTCTCTGGCATCTGTTTTTATTTTTCACTTTCAGTAACTCATCACTGGTGGTACTTTATCTTGGAGAATAAACTAATTTTTTTGTATTTTAACATTGGACAGTTTCAGGTGATTGTAATGATGTATAAGGAGTAAAAAAAATAGTAAATGGTATAGCTAACAGATGATGCAGAAAGTTAAATTAATATTAAAATAATCCTACATAGCACTTTTAATGATTTTTATATTAAAGTCTAATGTACATTTCATTCAAAATAATAAATACTCATTGCTGCTCAAATTTCTTAAATGGCTGTTTCCGTTGTATTTTTGCTGCATTTTCAAATGGCCTCTCTTCTCTGGTTTTTCTGCAAAGTATCAACTCTATTTCATTCAAATGGATATGTTGGCTTCTTAGCTTTACTGGAGATGTTAATTTGTATTAGATCAGTTTTTCTAAAGGTTGTTATTTGTCGTATGTATTATATTCTAAAGGATCTGTATTCCATTATAATTAGAAAATCAGTGCCTGGAGTCAGGGATTTATCAGGGTTCGTTAAATCAGTCATTAATGATTTGCTTACATATGTTTCTGAGCATATTCATATGCCAGGCATTGTGTAGATTCTCAGGTTGCTTCCTCAGTTCCAACAGTACAACGTAAATAAGGTCACTGTTTGAACTCTATGGACCCTGAGCTAGTCCACAGCGAAGACTACCTCATAACTCCAGCCAGAAATATTCCTCATCTATATAATTTAAACTGCATTCAACTAGAGGGAGGAGATAGTTAGGCGTGAAGCTGTTCATAAAACTTAGAAAACAAAAACAAAACAAGCTTATAGGATGTTCATTGAAAAGCTTTTTATCCAGGAATTTAATTAAATATGGCAGGAGCCCTCTGCACTGACCACCAACTACAACTCAGGTAGTCTTGGCAAGCAGAAGAGCCTTAAAAACTTTGCTGGTCAGATGGTGGCATGTGCTGATCAACATTGCTTCCAAGCAGAGTCAAGTGAATGGGATTGTGTCATTTTAATGTGAGTCTGTGCCTTGACAAACCTCTCTTCTGCTCAAAGATACTCAAAGGCTCCCCATGGCTTTATGAAAAAAATTCTCAGACAGGGTTTAAGGTTCTTCAGCCTGATCCAAACAGATATATTCAGCTTTTAGTCTGATTACATCTCAAGATCGCATTATGAATTATCTAGACAATTTGCATTCCTACATCAGGCTCTGGTATTCTTGCCTCCATGTCTGTTTTCCCTTCTTTATAATGCCACCCACCCCCTATCTCAGTTTCCCTAATCATGCTGCGTTTTTTGTTTGTTTGTTTATTTTGCCAGAGAGTGCATTGCTTGCTAAAGATAGGCAGAGAGAGAGAAAGACAGACACAAAGAGATAGAGAGAGAAAGTAAGGATAAAAACCCCTGGGGGATGGTCAAGCTGCAATCCCTTCTCTATTTCTTCTTTCAGGATTTTCGATATGCATGCACATGTGCTCTGTGCGTTTCTCAAGCCACCAGGTCCTGACTTGACCCACATTGTTGGCAATGTGTCATCCAGCTCTTTAAACCACCACACCACTGGCTGGTTCAAAGCTGTTCTTATTAAAATCAAATGCTACCTCTTCCTAGAACCCATTCCTTTTATCTGAAAGTAACTGTTCCTTCAAGTCCTCATTCATTCTCTGAAGACATCTTCATTTTGTGCCATATTGGTGGTATAAGTGTTTTATACCCCTTTTCAAGCTCCTTGGGAGTGTGTACTTCACCTGAAGAAAAAAAAAACTCAAGTGTCATACGTAATATGATTAGATTAGGTACTCAATAAGTATCTATTGAGATGTTAAATGCACCGAAGAATGAAAAATCAGCAAGTGTGTGATTTATTCAGAATTACAGCCCATCCTAATTTCTTAGAAAAATAAGTTAGTTCTCAACTCTTCTCAAAATAGACCATCCCATTCCCTCATACCTCTTCTGTAAGCACTAGGTCTAGGAGAGCATTATTTACTACCTGTACTTCTCTAGCCATTCCTACTCTGAAATGTTTGAAAAGCAAACTCATGGACTATTTCCAACCACCAGGGGGCCTCATGCTGCCACCTGAGGTCCCAAAAGAAATAACTATGGAAAGATGTAGATCATAATGATTGAAATGGGATCACATCTGGAGAGAGCAGTATTTCCCCTCCATGTAAGGCATTAGAAAGGATTCTCTATTTAGCTCATCTCATCTACATCCCTAACCCACTTTACAGAGGCTGTCACGGGATCTCCTACTTTGATAAGGAGCCTCCAGTCACATTAAAAGATAAATATCCCTTTGAAAGCTGTGAGGCACAGAGATAGTCCTACATACTACAATTCCCACTCCCATGAGGAGAATACAGATTTGAATTATGAATTATCACAGTTTCTCATAACATGTTTTTATTGGGCAAAGTCTATCTCTTCAAATGGCTCTACTATGTACAGATAAGCAGGTGGGTTAAATGCATGCATATACGTGGTGCATGCATAAATGTATTAGAAAGATCATCTGTACCCATCCTGGAATAACAGAAATCAGCTGCATCACCTGGTGAGCTGCTCCCTAAACCCCATACATACCAGTGTACAGGAGCAACTCTTAATCTTACTCTGTGCAGCAGCAGATCTTTGACCCAGGAGGCTCTGTCCTTCCTGCTTTACTGTCTTGGTTAGGTTAGAGAATTATGTCTAGAGAAGGTGTTCAAAGACGTCATTTAGATAATGCAGATGGCTGAGACCAAAGGATGAACTCGGAA